GTTAGATGTCTCAATGGAACGCAGTTTAACGTGTTCCTCACAAAACCCTCGTGACAGTCCATGTCTGGAAAATAAGAAAACATTTTTGTGAGAAGAAATCATAGAGAAAAACGAGCCATTTTCCTTGGAAAATTCCGCCAAGTCGAGTGAAGTGGTGACACTTTTTAGTGTGATATTTTGAAACCTTGACCATACTCCTGAATTTTTTTTCCACACGTGTTGCTACAAAGTAAAAAACCGATCTGAGAAAGAAAAACGTTAAGAGAAAGAAAGACGCAAATCAAAAATCGCAAATGAAGAATGTCACCGCTTCACTCGACTTGGCGAGATTTTTTAAGGAAAAATGGCTCGTTTTTCCCTGTGATTTCTTCTCACAAAAGTGACTTTTATTCTCCGGACATGAACGTTTTGGAAAACACGATGAGGTGCGTCCATTGAGACACTAACTTTTGAAGAAGTTTTGATTTCCGTACCCGGCTGGATAAAGTTGTATTATTTTCTTATGATACGGCGCTTATCTCGGTCGGATAGTAATCAGGGTTCCTTACAATATCATATCCTGTAGAATCCTCGACGGAGAATCGTTTTGACATGACCCCGTCCAAATTCAATGATTTTGCGCCATAGGCAGAGCGAGTATTTTCAAAAAAAAAAAAAAAAAATTGTTGCTTCCTCGAACTGGAATTCTGTGTTGATATTCAGAACAGCGTTTATATGTGTCACAATTCCTCTGTAGAGCCTTTTTCAAAAACATCTTCAGATGCAAGTTTTTGGGAAATTTGTAGGTGGAAGTATAATTATGCGTCGCAGTGTATAAATAAGGTCCTAGTGGTGTTAAACAAGCCTAAGAAACTCTTTTAACCTGGGAAACTACACTCACGCTTTCGAAGCTCACCTAAGCGACATTGTTATCCTACACAGCGCAGATATCCAGAAGCGTTTTAGCAGTTTTCAGTCTCTATGAAGATGCCTAAAATTGTGATCTTTGCCGCCCTGACCTCTCATTTTCTGAGTTTGATATCCGAAATCACTCTGACTTCTGAAAAACGAACATGAACGTGAATATTTTCAAACGTTTAAACAAAATTTAAACCTGATTAACTTGATAACTTATTTGAACTTGTTACGAACTTGAGTGCCAGCCCTGTATTTTATGGTTGACTTCTCATTTTAGTGATGATGTACTATGGTGATGCAGATGTGGTGTGCAACTTTTTTAATGGTAAAAAGTTCATACCGAAGCTTGGTTTGAAGGTACTTTTAAATAAAAGTTGTTATTTTTTGAGAAGCACAGTAATTTCATAAGTTGAGGGAAGCCATTCAAGTTGCATCATTTGTATAGGCGACAATCAGGAATGTCCCCCAAGAGGCCCATCGCGCAGCGAAGGAAGAGACACAGGCGCGGCAAAGGACGAGTCTCAGCGATACTGGTTAGCGTTACTCGCGTCAGGGCTTAAACAGAGCCTGCACCATAACTACATACTTTCATATCCAGCACCGCATCGCGCTGTGATCGTCCTTTGGCGCGTTTGGTCTCTTTTCGGCAATGGGGCCTCTTGGGTTGGGAACGCCGACAATGGGGAGGATCCCATTAGTGGATAGTCCTCCAATCCAGAATCCCCGCGCCGCCTCATCATCGCCGAATTTCCACATCGATGCATGTCTTTTCCTGTCACCAAATCTCTTAATTTGCCACCTGTTAGCCTGTCCTGACTGCGGTGATCACCTCACGGGTGGCGCTGGAATCAGACCAATTTGACTCGCGAATGCAGTCTTGAGTCAATCGCGCGAATCGCCGATTCTGACGCCTGCCTTACCGTTCAGTAGATCGATTGTAATGCTGCCCATAACGAGTCATTATCGAAGACATCTCCTAATTGCCACGGAAGGCGTCGAACTGGAATGGGAGCGGGGGAGGGCCGTATCAAAAAGAAGAAATATTATGTGGAGATAGTGACATAGAAAAAATTTCAGAGCTATCTCGAGAGGAAGGGAACAAGAAGATGGTTACAACCGTAGCGCCGGGAATAACCATATGTGAAGTCAGTTGTGAATTAATTCTCATTCACGGATGTTGTCCTGAGGAAGGCCTCGTCAATTTGTTGCGCCCGACAATGATTATTAGTGATATCCATCGATCCAACAGCGGTGAAAAAAAGCAAAAAGCTGCTGAAAACTCCTAAAATCAAATAGCACTGCGGTCGCATGGCTCTGCGCTCGCCCCTACGGTAGCTTCATTGGTTAGCCATTCCTCTGATACCGTAAGATACTGCAAAGGCCGATGTCATAGTTCGCTAGCGAATCGCTGGATCCGAGCGTTGCACTAGCGAATCGAACTTTGCGGCAGCGAATCGACCGATGCACCAGCGAGTCGATCTATGTACCAGCGACTCAACACTGTTTGAGAAGTGGCGGGACCCAACGTTCAAAGGAAGTCCACTATAAAGGACCACACTGTTAGAAAATGGCGGACCTACCTTTAAACATTGGGTCCCGCTACTTTCGATCAGGTATTGAGTCGCTGGTACCTAGTTCGACTCGCTGGCGCATCGTTCGACTCGCTGGCGCAAAGTTCGATTCGCTGGTGCAACGGTCGATTCGCTGGCGCAACGCTCGCATCCAGAGATTCGCTAGCGAATCGCGCGAATCGCAGACTATGACATTGGCCAAAAAGATGTGGCCAATCCAAGTGAGATACGAGCAAAAGCGCAGCGCAATCCCGTCCATGCAATGTCCACGCAACGTTGATTTCTAAGGGTTTTAGTAGGCTTTTCACTCTATTGATCACCAGTGGACAAGCACCTTCAGATCTTTTGTTTTCGGACCCCTCGGGGTGTGCCTGTGAAGGCAGCAAGTGCTGTACTGCATTTCCTACGAACAATAGCGGTGGGTATAGTGCCCATACATCTATAATTCCAAATATTGCTGGAATGCGTGGCGCATCCTTACGGACAAAAAGTTATATCTCCCATTCCCATTGTGGTGTGAAGGAAAAATTGACATGCTTTGAAATGTACATTAAGATTGTTGCCCCTGAGAGACCATTTCTTTAGTTGGTGGAAAACCTGGAGGCACCTTACCACAAACTACGGCTCGAGCGTTTCCATTATGTAACAGTCAAGGTCATGAACTAGCTGGATTATTCGGGAATCATATGACTTGAAATTTGATTACCTTCAGGGAGCTGGTCATATGGTCCCAACGGATAAGCCGGCAGTTGCCTCTCACATACTTGCTTCGTTCCTTTTCGACAAAAATTTTATTTTCGGTGATGTATGGTTTCTTGAATTTCGTCAAAAATGACACTCTTTCAGATTTACTCTACAACGATAAACCTTGATAAGTATTCTATTGCAAACTCGTTCGTATTTGCCAAAAATGGTGGTATTTCTTTTAGGAATTGATAGGGGCAGGGGACGAAGGTCAGCTAACATAGGAAGTAGTTTTTTAAAACCGTTTCCTCTTATACCCTTCATTTCTTCAAATTCTCAAAAAATTCTTATTTAGGGAACTTTATAGACAGCAGTGGATACACCACTAACTAAGGTGGTCATCACTAAGGCGATGAATAGAGGAAGACGAAGTCATTTTATGAAGCAGGTTTGTAAAAGATTAAGCTGGGTAATAAAGGTGGAATGGCCCTAGGTATGTTCAATATTCGCTATCCCTTTTGAGAGATCACCTTGCCCAGACAGACACACATGCTAAAAACAAAAATCATCAATGTCTATTTACAATCAGAAGGTTCTAAAAAATATAGGTCCGAAGTAGGTCTAGGATGAGCTAAAAGTGTTGAATGTGGCCGAGTCCGAAAAATTCTCTTCAAAAAATCCTAACTCAACAATGTGCTACGAGGGAACCATGAAGATGTTGATTTATTACTTGGTTGTGGTTTGAAGAGCGATTTTCTATTGTTTGAAGGTCAAGGATATTTTGGAGTACGCCCGAAGTTTCCTTTGGGTTTTGTACAAAATGTCTCTCTTAGTTATGCTTCTCGTTTTGACTATTTCCATTATTGTTGTACCCGTACTTCCGAATACGGACCAGAGGTTGTCACCCGATTTTTTGGGCTTGTATTGGAAAACTAGACATGTGTTTCATTCGGTACTCGGAGAAGGTCTACACAACGCCGGGAAAACAACTTCGAACTTGAAACCACAGCGCGCGAAGTTCCTTTTGGTTTTGTTAAGTCTCATTCTATGTATTGCCTGTGTGGCGTCAACGAGGTAACGTCCACAAACAAATATCATGGTGATAACTGTAAGAGAATGGGACTGAGGGCGCGACATTGCGTAGCTCTGGCACACTTATGTAGCACGGGCGACCATGTGCGTATTACTAAGTTCAAGAAGGGGAACGTACTTGGTGTTCTTAGAGCAAGTGTTTGCGGAAGTAGGACTCTGTTATTCTCAAGAACCGTTTAGAAATTTGCCTATTTCGGTTTCGGCCTTCAGTAGTTATATGCCCCTTCCGTCTCTTGTTCTGGTTGATGGACTTCTAGGAAGAAGGAGATAGAAGCAGAAGTAGTTGAGACCAACGGGGACATCTTGGGGTGTGAGTGAAGGGGATTGGGAAGCATATAAAGATTCCTTCAGGAGAGTAAGTAGCCGAGGCGGTTTGCCCAAGTTCTAACCTAACATTTAGTTCAGCCTGCTAACTAGGTCGAATTCTTAGTCTAGTTCTCATCACTCTTTTCAGACCTCCTTTAGAATCATACTCGATTGGCAAGATGAAATACTGACCTTCTCATCGTTGGGCCCCACTAGTCACTGCATAAACTGAAGACACATTCAAACCTCAGCAAGAACACCAGCAAGAGTAAAACGCGTGGCGCATTGCGAAAGCGTCTGTTGAAAGTCAGGTTCGCCATCCGTTGCCCTTCCAACTACAATCACAACGGCTTGAAAGTGCGATTAAATGTACTAAACGATCTTTGTCACTCCCAGAAGACACCCACGTAGCTGCCAGCATTTCTTCGATTAGCACCGATCATTAGCTTCAATTTCATATAAATTACATGCGATTCCCAGCATCAGCTGAATTATTCAAATTCCTCTTTTTTCTGCTCCAACTTATCTGCTCTGAGCGACAGCAGCGTTTCTGCGTTGTAATACATAACAAACGGTTAGCTAGTGCTTAGCGATGCCCGGCGCTAACCACTCGTCGATCTTTCATCGAACTCGCACCTACCACGTTTCGATCACTTGGAGCTACATCACATGATGATGCAATCTTTGACCTTTATACAGAAAAATGCTAAGCTTAACTTCCGCTCGCTTGATAAATAGTGCATATTGCAAGGGTAATCAGGCTCTCGTTTGGCTTGATAACGGCCGTGGGCTCTTTGTACCTTCCCCCCCCCCTCCATAAAGCCGCTGTAGATTATAGGGACTGGATGACAAAGACGTAGAATGAAGAAGAAGGCATTATTGAAAGCGCTTAGCTAATCATTCGAGATGTGCCATGCAAAAAAATTCACTCAGAACGTACGAGCAATGGAAGCATTTGGGAAGGGGCGTGGGGGCAGGGTCAATCCTACGTTGGTACAAGTACCAACGGGGGGTCGTACTTGGTTTAGCTTGGAGGGAGGGGGGGTCGTATGCGCTTCAGTTTGTGGTGAAACTCAAGTTTTCAGGAGTAGTAGGCTAGGTGAGTTGGGAGCGCAGGGGAGAAAAACGTTTCTGAGTGACTATTATCCCCCTTCCTCTCGGCGCGACGGCATTGTGGCCAGGAAAAGGCGCGGAGTTTCGTGGGTTGAGTGGTATCAGAATTAAATACTGCAGAGAGGAATATGGTGGTGGTCGAGGGTCGAAAAGGGGTCGTACCAAGTCCACCTTGGGGGAGGGGGGTCGTAAAAATTTTTGAAAAAGTAACAACGGTAGGACTGATCTCCTGCGTTGGGGGGATCCAGCAAGGGTAAAGCTGGATCTTGTCAGTGTTCTTTCCATTGACTAAGAGAGTGCTATCAAAACTTGACGCCAAGCCACTGCGCTTCAATTCCTATGATTTTGTCACGGATTTTTGCGGAGTACGGGGTAAAGTGCTACTGCTTATGCTCTCTCAGATAACGGTGGAATTCAGAAAGCACCTAAAACTATTTTAAGCTTCCAGTTAATTTTTGAGGGAGTCCGACTTCAAAACTATCAGGAGTAGCATTTGTATATGACAAACCGCCGTAGATGTTAAGGAAAGGGGTACCGTATGCTGACCTTAAATTAAACATCCCTTTGAGCTTTTAAAAATTCAGTTTTCAAGGAATTTTCAGACTTTTTCTAGAATTTTATTGCATACAGGTTTCCATTCTGACTACGCGAAACTAGAACATCAAGCAGATCTTGATACGTTATGTTAAACGATTTCATGAAATTCTCTCCTTAAAGGCGACTTAATGGGCGATTCACATGTACACGTCTCGCCTTCAAATGACCAGAAATTGTGCAATTGCAGAAATTGACGTGGCATTAACGTGGCATCGATTCAAGAACATCTTTGAGCACACGTGATGTCACCTTTTCATCGAGAATTTAGCCACGTGTGCCAATGCCACGTCAATTTCTGCAATTGCACAATTTCTGGTCATTTGAAGGGCGAGGGTACAAGCGGCTCAGGAGATTGTCATAGTCAGTGTCATAGCTGCGGTATCTCGACCGCTTCCATCAGTCCCGAAAAAGTTGTACGATTCGCTTTCCGCCAGCTTATTTATATTATTTATTATTTATTTGTTTATTTATTTTTATTTATGTATTTATGTATTTAGTGGGGAATAACCGCGCACGAGTGGAGAAACAACAAGGACATAGGTACTCTATACTCTATAAACTGAACAGGTGGCCAGCCGAAGGTGTTATTGCGATAATAACTAGAGTTCAAGGCATAATAAGTGAGAGCAAAAAACGTAACTATCTCTTAGACACTCCGAGCTGGCTAGATTAGAGACAATTCTCTCGAAAGCCTCTTAAAGATGATCTGACTCTTCAAACTCTTCGGCACTGCACGACCATGATGCGTATGCGACGAGAAGGTTATGCCAAAACTAGTTAAGCAGAGTCTTCTTTGATACAGAGCCATCGCATCTTGGTAAACTTTAACTCTAAGAAGCTGGATTAAAACGGGGCAAAGTGGCCATACTAGCGCCTAAGTGTGTAACTGTTACTTATTCTTATGTTCACCATGGGCCACCAATAAAACCAGAGTCTGGATGGGTTCACCTTCACATCTCGACTAATCGCCCTTATTGTCCCTCCATGATTGCTTTCTTCCAAAAACGTGTGCGGAATTTCACCTTCTCAAATGGGGAAGCTAACCCCTTCAGATATATTTTTTATATCTTGAGCAAATTTTTAATCAAACAGGATACACTGATCTCTTAAGAAACCTAATCTTCCAGTGCAGTCGATTGAGTCGAGTAGGTGGCAGATTCTAGCAAGACATTTACATGGGTAGACTGGTTGTGAGAAAAATAAAAACTTCAAAGGAGTTCTCTCCTTATCTTGGCCATATTAAGGATACGGTCCTCGGTTAGCTGGTCTCGTTGATTGATTTCTCGGAGGCAATGAAACAGTGGACCTGAGCCACAATTAGCCCAGGTGTTTGATGCGCTCTCAACTCTGACCACACGCGACAGAACATCAATCAAGGCGGGCTCCCTGGCACAGCTCCGCCTCTGCTGACAATGAGTACCCCTTTCTCACATCTGATCATCAGTCGAGTGATGTTGTGGACCGGCCTCATCTGTCTTCTTGCTTTGTGCCAGGCACAAGAGATCAAGCAGTTGCCGGGAGTTGGCTTTGAGCTCAACTTTAAACACTATTCTGGATTTTTCCAAGTGTCTGACACTCACCTTCTCCACTACTGGTAGGTTACTAATAGAAAACAATTTCGTCAACTCATTAACTTGTTTTTATGCTGCAACTCTACTTTTGACCCTTCCAGGTTTGTTGAGTCTCAGAATGACCCGACAAATGATCCGCTGATCTTCTGGTTCAATGGCGGTCCAGGATGTTCGTCTCTGGACGGACTTCTCAACGAGATGGGACCGTATGTGGCAAACTTCGATGGGAGAAGTCTCAGGTCCAATCCTTATTCCTGGAATAAGGTACGTCTTCAGAAGAAGTCTTAGGTTCAAGTTTCAAATGAAAGCGGTTTCTAATTTCAGATGGCATCAGTGGTATACATAGAGTCTCCTGCCGGAGTAGGATATTCCTATTCCACCGATGGAAACATCACCACCAACGATGACCAAACATCTTTGGAGAACTACGTAGCCGTCAAGCAATTCTTCACGGTAGCTGAAGGTAGCAAACTCCTTGAGAACCTCTTTGAATAAACCAAATTTTCAGACTTTCCCTCAATTCCGACACCACGCCACTTTCATCATGGGCGAGTCTTACGGTGGAGTTACGTGCCGACGTTGACAGCAAGGATCGTTGATGGCCAAAAGGATTTCCCTATCAACCTCAAGGTAGGTCAGGGAAGGGTATCATTCTTTAGCCTAGACTATCGTAATAGCTCCGTTTAGGGAATGGCACTTGGAAATGGCTATGTAAATGAGAAGATGAACATCGACACTTCTATCCGTTACGCCTACGGCCATGGCATCATCGATGAGAAGACCTGGAATACACTTGAGAAGGACTGTTGCAAAGGTTGTATCGACTCCTGCGACTTCACTCAGGTATGAGCTATCATATCTTATATTTTCCCCAGGTAAGGTCAGCGGTTGTTTGGTGACCTATGCCCTATTTGGATGTGTTGTGCAACATATTCTGCTGACCCTGATAGCGGCGATATTGCGAAAAGGCCTCCAGGTTCTACTATAAAGAATATCAGCTGTACACTACCCTATTGCCCAGTACATAGATCGAGACAAGGAGGTGAGGGATAGCGAGAAACTATAATGACTCTTCTGAGCTCTTCTGAGTGATTGATGAGGGGAGCTGAAGGAAGTGAACCAAAGTAAGCAAACGAGTATTGAGCATGACTTCTTATGAATTTTCTTATTTGCGTTGGAACCCTTCGAAAAAGCCTCGTTCATCAGCCTAATCCTTTTAGGAAACTTCTGCTATTTATCCTGGTGCACTCTTATTTCTATTCGTAGTGAGAATTTGGAGCACCAAGCTATGGTTTTCTTTGAGCTCCTAAAAATGGCTTCGATGCTCATGGTAGAGCCATCAGGCGCGTATAAAAAGAAAGTCTGGCTTTCACTCGCGGAGGGAAAGGGAGCAACTCAAACCGTAACTCTAATAGAATTACCATACACCGGACAAGTGCTACCATCGTTGCTGGATGGATAAAAAAATTCAACTGTAAGGAGACTTCCGAGGGGTGTCCTATGATTTTGCAACGACTACAAAACTAAAAAAATTGTCTAAAAATACGGAAAACTATTCGGATGATCTGGCTACTTGTTTGTATAGGTTTTTTATAGAGGCGGTTCTGATTCTACCAGTTGCGATAGACGGCTTTTTCTAGAAGCCGAGATATTCATATTTTTGGGGGGTGTCCTATGATTTTGCAACGCACTGTATAAATCTTGGCGGAGATTTTCGCCTGTGCGTTTTTTTTTCGCAAGCGGACATCTCTGAACAGGGTCTCATGCACGTTGTCGGTTTAGTACCACACTTGTGTATAGTTTACTCAGTCACCGTTTTTGATACCATCCTACTTACTATAAAGCGCTTCGTCTGTCGTCTGTCGTTCTGTATGTCTGTCACGAAATTCCCTAGCTCCTCGGGATCCGCCTGGAGGGACCGGGTCAAGTGTGGGATGGGTGGGCAAGGTCTCACGAAGTACAAAACACACATCAGCTAAGCGGAGCCCCGCCCACAGTGGGCGTGGCGTGCGTCGAATGTACTGAAGACCAAGATTTCGATTTCAGTGACAAAACAACCTCGAAACTGGGCCAAAAAGTGGGTAAAGGTGTGCATTGGTAAGTCACATCGAGGGAGACCCACCCCCGGTGGGCGGGGCGTTCTCTAAAAAAGCAGTGCTTTATGAAAAATTTCATAACTCGGTTGGGAGAAAGCCTACAGAGCAGAAAACAATTGGTGTAAGGGAGCAATGTCTAAGGTGTTCCCTGCATACATGACGTGGGCGGGCGCGCTCTGAAGTGTACAGCATTTTCTACAAGTCCTCATAATTCGGGCGCCGGGGAAGCCTTAAAGAGCCGGGAAAAAGGTGGATAGAGGTGGGTGAAAGAGTGGAGGCCAACTTCCATCGGTGGGCGTGGCACGATCAAAATGGCGAGTTTGCGACTGAACTCATAATCCGTTCCTAAGAAATCCGGAGGCTGGGAAAAGGTGATGAGTGGGTCTGGAGGAGAGATAGAGCCAGCTGGACAATTGGTGGGCGGAGGCTCTGACCAAAGTACGCGGAGTTGCGCCGAAAATCATTCGCTCTAGCGACTCTATGATAGAGAAAACGGGTTAAGTGCAACGGAAAAGAGTCATCTGCTATTAGTGGCGAAGCACGCAGTTAGTTGGCGATGTTGCCAAAGAGTGTTCCCAAAGGTCCAGAGACCGATGAAAACAGGGTAGAGGTCGGCGAAGGAAAGGTGGGCAAACGTTTTTGGTGGGCGGGGCACGCACTGAAGTAGGCGGAGTTTGCCACGAGATTTATGGTGCGGAGGTGGTCTGGAGACCGGGAAAAAGAGAATAATGGTTGACGAAGAAAAAGAGGTTGAAAGCCGTCGATGATGGAGCGGATAGAATTTAGCTGAGAATTCAGATATTCGTGGTGTATCAAGCCAAATTTGAAAATTTTCGTCGCACCATCAAAATTCGCCGCAGATCTGTGTTGTGCGCGCAATGCGTGCGGCGCCAACTGGTCTCAATATTGCGGGAATTACCGCTCCACTCATGCTTTGTTATTCTCGCGATAAGGGATTTGGCGCGGAAGTAAATAACAGCGTGAAAAAAGATCGAGGGCTGTCGATACAGAGTGAAGTAATATTTGAGCGTCATTACCTTGTCAATTCGTTGGCGCTGATTGCATTGATCCATCGGATCCCTCGATGATTTGATGACCGAGGGCTCATCCAATCGCGTAATGTGCCTTCGGAAAGAGGGGTGGGAGAAGAGACATTCTATTTGAATACGGTAAGGCCCATAGACTGAGCCTTAACGTCAGAGGAGGAAATTGGAGTAATGAAAAATACGCTTGTCAGACAGCTCGGATCTCCCTCATTATTCTCCCGAGACTTTAGCCCGAAAACTGGACGCTGTTCGCGAATCCTGACGCTACGGCGCCCCCCCCCCCAAGCCCCCCCCGCTCCCCTCAGAGCCATAATGCGATTCTATTATTAGGTTGTCGGAAAAGTCTTGCGCATTTTCTTCTTCATCTTGCAAAATCTTTTGGGATTTTGAAACATTCACTGAAACGCATGTGAGCGGTGGTTAATGCTCTCTCCACAGCATTTCTGTCGTAGCATTTCGCAGCGTTTGAAGCTGAAAAATCGTCTTTCACTGAAGGTATGTTCGACTGCTCCTGCCTTTATAAGCCCACAAAGTGCGTCGATTGAAGCGACGCAGCAAGAGGCCTACGTGTTGTGATGGACCTCCAGACTATCTTTCACAATATGCCAATTATTTGGTTGTCAATGTTTAGATACCTGAGAAAAAGCCACAAATTTAGTCCCTGTTACACTAAATGAGGAGTGAATACTGAAGTCGATCGGAAAGAGTTCCTGGTGCAATGCACGAAACTGCCTAATCATGGTTCAGGACATCTGTCAACCTATGAGCCTTGGTGTTCAGCGTTTTGTAGTGATGTCTGGGAGCTCTCACAAGCACACTATCACAGCATCTCCATCTTTCTTTCTTTATCTTCTTCAAAAGGCTTAGTCCCAATAAGACACAAAGTGTGTGCTTTTCCAGCTACGCTCTCACCCTTTGGTTGACAGAAGCCTTGTGGCCCCTGATCATAAGTAGCTTTAGTTTGTTGAAACACAATAGCCGCTTCTTTATATCGCCTTGGAAAGAATTGGAATTATGGTGAAAAGTTATTTTGTGATCTGACTCACCATCACCTTCAAAGCGGAGAAGTTTGCAGGAACACTTAGATTAGCGCCTTTCTCTCATTTGACCCGACAACTCTGTTGGTGAGTGAAAAAGGTGAAACTTCACGTAAACCACGAGCACGAATGGCACCGACGCGTAGAACAAAGCCTTGTCGGCAAACATGATTATCCTTTCCTGTGAAGAAGGTGGTCTGCATTCCTGGGTGTTTTTGATTGTTTCGTAATCATCAAATTTTACGCTTTATCTATTAATTGAAGTCCACATGGTAACGATATAGAAAAGGTGTGGAAAGCTAACAGTCAATGAAACATGGTTCTGAGCGCGATCCCTTGCGCACAGTTAGGGATACGGTCCTATGGGCTAAATGCCCTGAACTTGACTACACAACCCAATCTTGTACGCTTGTATCAT